CAGGGAAGCCTTGGTATTGGCAAAAGGCCTGTCCGGAGCCCTTTTTAAAATCTCAAATCCATAGTGCCACCTCTGTAGTGTTAGGAATCCACCCCTGCCATTGGGAACGTCTCTCAGCCTAAAATAATATTCCTACTAGTCCCATCTTAAATGAAATGTTGCATAAATGTAAAATGGGAATCTATCTTGTCACCCCACAGATATGCAGGCCTATGCTAGGTAAGAGCTTTGGGGGTGATGAACAGCTGGTATTGGGACAGGAGACCTAGTGAGACATGGTCTCCTTGAAATGAAGAAAAACAACAACTATGACCTTGAGAATTTACCCCAGAGGTTGACCAGTGTGGCAGAGGTAACTGTCTAAGCTACAGATACCCAGTCTGAAAATGGTCACATCAAATGTTCCCAGTTGAAGTAATTGTCCAAGCTACAGATGCCTGGGCTGGGGACAGCACGTCAATCAATGCTCAGTGCATGGTAACTCACTACTATCATCCTAGCACTTGAGAGACTAGACAGGAGAACTACCATGAGTTTGAGGCCAATCTGGGTTACATAGAGTTCCAGGGCAGTCTGGACTACTACTAACACAAGTGAGATCTTATTTTAAAAAAAGCAAAAACAAAAAAATAGGACTGGAGCTATATAGCTCAGTGGTGGTAGAGCACTTACTTAGCATGTTTGGGGTCCTAGGTTCAATCCCTAGTACCACAAAATAAAATAAAATAAAAATCCTATTTGGGACTGACTTGCCAAGCAACCCTGAAAACCCAAGTCTGATCCCTGGAACCCATGTAAAAAGGTCAGATATAGTGGCTCACATCTATGATCCCAGCACTCCTAAGGTAAGATAGGTGGTGGAGACAGGTAAATTGGCTGGAAGTTGTCCTCGGACCTCTACACATATGCTGTGGCACGTCCTCCCCCTCTCTCCCTCTCTTTCTTTAATCCCTCTCTCTTTCTCTTATATAAATAAACATAAACAAATAATTAAAATAAAAGAGCCTGGGTTTGAGAAGAGGGTTCTTACACTGAGGATGTAGCTCAGTGGTATAGCACTTGCCTAGGCCCTGGATTCAATCTCTAGAATAAGGGGAGGAGGGGAAGGGGAAAGAGAATGTGGAGTGTGATGCCTATTCACAGATGCCACTCCACAACTGATACTGGATATAGACACTCAGTGGGCATAGTCCAGTACAGCCCTGAGCTCCCAGGCTTAAGTGATCCTCTTGCCTCAGCCTTGTGAGCAGGTGGAACTGCAAGTGTGCCTCTGTGTCCCTGGCAACATCATTTCTAACACAAGAGCATCTCAGTTCTGAGACCTTTGTTCTGGAGTCATTTCCCATCTCTTTCCAAGCTTCTTTTATCTCACATTCCAAATCCAATCTCTCTGGCTTTAATATGAAAAGCAAAGCCTATTAGCCCAGCAGTATTCCTCTGCTAATAGCCTTCTCAAAACTAACTCTTCCCCACAGGTTGGTATGCCTGCTGAAACGCTGGGAATGTGTGCACAAATGACCTTCATAGGCGGCAATGGAGGAAACCACAGTTTCTGGGCCTTGGGAAGCTGGACCCAATTCAGAAAACAGGGAAGTATTACCACCACGCCAGGCCATTCTCTGGTATATAACTGCCAGGGTATCATTTTCTATAGACCTTTGGTCCAGGAGGCCCCAGAGCATTAGAAGCTGCAGTAGGAGGCTTGCCCAATCCTTGCAGAACACAATTAACGCTTTCAAAACAAGATCCACATATGATAATGAGTTCACCTACTGAGATTTTGAAAACAGTCTTGTGCCATACAGACATCAATTTATATGGACGTCCATATCCTTCAAAATCCTGCCTTCAATAGCCATGATCAGAGCAGGTGCTTCTAAGGAGGTCACAGACAGGATAAAGACAGCTGAAAGGAACATGAGTCCAAAGTAGAAGGAAACACTATACCAGACAACAGCTGCTAAAAGGAGGAGTAAGACAAGAGTCAATTCACCTATCAAAACAACAACTAAGGGTTCTGGGAGATGGCTCACTGTATTAAGAGCGCTTGTGGCACAAGCATGAGGACCTGAGTTCAAATCCCTAGCACTCATGTACAAAGTTGGGCATGGCCACACACTACAGACCCATACTATAGGCCTACACTATGGGGGACAGAGAAAGCAGGACTGCACCAACCTAAGTGTCACCAGTTGGCATTCTGACTTATTTGTTGCCAGGCATGGTGGTGCACACTTTTAATCTCAGCACTCGGGAGACAGAGGCTGGTGGATCTCTGTGAGATTTAGGTCAGCCAGGTTAAGAGAGAGAGAGAGAGAGAGAGAGAGAGAGAGAGAGAGAGACCAACTGAGGCTACAGAGAGACCCTACTATCTCAAAAAAGGCTATTTACTATCAATCAAAAAAAAAATCTTTACAAGAACTGCAAAGGAATGCATCTAGAATCCTATAACCAAACACAGCTATGTTTTTCTTTGGTTCTTCTGTTTGTCTATAGTCATTGTACAATTTTCTGTGCTCCTTTTCCCTCCAACTAACAAAATTCCACAAACAGCTTTTTTTCTTTTAAATAACTGTATCATGTTTCATTAAATTATATAACAGTGTTTCTCTATTGCTGGACATTCGTTTTTTATTTTCTAGATGTTAGCCATTCCAAATTTTACTGATAAAGCAAATTTCTTCTCAAGAGCTTCATTTATTTCTAATTATTTCAGCTAAATCTCTGGGAGTAGAGTTAAAGGCTGGCATTTATAGGTTCTTGATATCTTCACTTTCAAAAGGATGGCACTGTGGGGACATAGGAGTGTTTCTATTTTACTGTATTTGCCTATCTATCCCTGGGAAAGGGGAGGAGGCCCCATCAGGTTTCTATTTGGGTCAGGCAGACACAGGCAGCAAATAATTATCTTACATGGAGATCCATGAATGAAACACTGAAGACACTAGGTGCTAGAGAAAGTGAGAGCATAGGCAATTCTATGCAGTTAAACACTGAGATGGACAATGCATGAACTAAATGCAAGAGGATGCGAATGCCTATCTGCTTCTTCAGTTTGTAACCTGCCAAGATCAGGATAGCTCTCAAATTAGATCGATCTTAAATGTCATGTGGTCCACCCAATCTGGAGGCAGATTAAGGAGACTGCCTGGTTGTCCAAGGTTGCAAAAATCAAGGATTGTTGAGACAAACTCTGCTAACTGGCACATGTATACCTATAAGCTTATGAAGCTCAGAAAAGTCTTATGGGGTTTTGCTGCTTGGCTGGACGAGGCTACTGTGACTTGTACCACAGCCTAATTCAAACCCTATTATCTACTAGACCCCATCTGCCCCATTCCATTCCAACTAACCTGGAGTCTTGTCACCTATCTGAATTCCAGCAACCACTGTAAAGTCCTTCTCAGTTAGGTCAGCATTAGGCTGCCCACTTATGCAGATGCCAGTCCTGGCCTTGCTACTTCCTGGCTATAGGATGTTGGTTTCTCAGTGCTTTCACCTATAAAATGGGGATAATAAGTGTATCTGTGTGACTGCATCACTGTGAGGGTATATGGTGGCTAATCCTGGGTGTAAACTTGATTGGATCTGGGATTAACTGAAATGAGAGAGACCTTGTTGACTGGATCATTTGAAGCTGGAAGACCCACCCTAAATGTGGGCATTACCTTCTGATGGCAACCCGTATAAAAGGCCATGGCAGAAGGGAGCTTGTGCTTTTTTGCCATTTGCCTTCTCTCTCATTGGTGAGTTATCTTGCCACTGTAACCAACTTCTTCTTCTTCAACATAGACTAAAGACTAGCAGGTCTCCCAGAATCCATCAAGCCTTCAGCACCAGATTGGGACTACTGAGACATCCAGCCTAGTGGACTGAGCAACTACTGGATTCTCAGCCTTTCCAGTGTGGTGTAGCCATTGTTGGACTACTTGGACTCTATCCTGCAAGCTAATCTAATGGATTTATTAGATTAGTTTACAGGATTTCTACCAGTTCTGTTTCTTTAGAGAATCCTGACTAATACAGGGTGAAATAGGTAAGGACAATGAATGCAAAATAACCTCTTCAAGTTAGTAAGAGATTTTCCTTAATACAGTCATTGTAAGAACTAAATAAGATGACAAATACAATGTACCTTGAAAATGCTTGGGTATAGCTATTGCAGGGCATAGTGACACATGCCTTTGACCCATGCCTTTGGGAGGTAGAGGCAAGCAGATCTCTGTAAATTTGAGGCCAGTCTGGTCTATATAGCAAGTTTCAGTCCAGCTGGGCTACATAGTGAGATACTGTCTTAAAAAAAACAAAACAAAACAAAAACAAAACAAAAAAAAACCCAAGAAAAAAAAATCCCTATATATATCTCTAACTAACTAACTAACTAACTAACTAACTAACTAACTAACTAACTAACTAAATGCTATTGTTGTAATAACACAAGCACTAAACACAGTACAAATGTAGTAGGTTTCCCCCAGGGATGGGCGAGAGAAGGGTTTCATGGAGCTGGAAGGATGTTCTGCCTCTCCTCATAAAACTTATATTTCTCTGACAGCCTTTTTCCTCCCTACTCAATCCTCTGCCCCCTCTTACCCTTGCACATGCTCCTTTAGCCAGGAAATAAGCCAGCACCAGTGTTTTCTTCTCTTGCATCTTCAGTATCAATGAAAGCAAGACTTAGGCCATTTCTCTCTATCCTTGGTACTTGGCAAGCTCATGCCCTCCTTAGGCCCCATATTAGAAGGATAGTAAATAACTGAGGCACAGGGAAACTGCCACCACTAACTTTGTTTCCTCTGGGCTGAGCCTAGGTCTGATTGCTGCTAGCCCCAGGGGCCTGTGGCCGAAGCATCCACCACCCTGGCCTGCCCATCCCAGCCCTGCTGTGGATCCCAGCACCCTACTCACAGCTCAAGAATGAGCACCACGTCGGTGCGATTCTCATAGACGTCATGCAGCGTGATGATGTTGGGGTGCAGCACCTGCCGCAAGATGCTCACCTCCCGCTCGATTTCCTCCCGGCACACACCTCGCCGGCTGGCCTGGCTATGACGCTTCTTAATGAACTTGGCTGCATACTCCAGCCCTGTGTTCTTCTCCTGGCACTTCTTCACGATGGCAAACTGGCCACTGTGGGGACATAGGACCCACACAATTAGGGTGTGGCCATTGGGAAAGTGACCCTTGCTGCTCGCTATCAAGGCAGCTAACATGTTTTTCCACCAAGACAGAAAATCATGCTACTGGCCAGCATCTTTGCCTGGCTAACATCTAACGACTGAAGTAGGGCAGGGACTGGGCTTCCCTTCTGTTCATATGAGACCTTTATATTTTACTAGGAAGGGGTTATTACTATTATATTGTTATTCCCAGTATACAAAGGTGAACACCTAGGCCTTGGAAAATATTGCCTTGGTCAGGTTGACACAGCTTGCAAAGCCTTAGCTAGATGTCATAATGTCCATAAGCAGGCTGGGTTGGTGGAGATCTCAGTTGGGACTGGGATTGGAGTAGAGGCTGCCTGACAAGGTCAATCATTATGGTACTATGAACAATAAATTTGTAAAATTCAGAAACAGAAGTTGGGCGTGGTCGCACATGCCTTTAGTCCCAACACTCAGGAGGCAGAGGCAGGTGGAGCTCTGTGAGTTCAAGCCCAGTCTGATATACAAAGTGAGTTCCAGGTCAGCTGGGGTTACAGGGAGACCCTGTTTGAAAAAGACAAAAAAAAACAAAACAAAACAAAACAAAACAAAAACCCCAAAACAATCAGAAACTGAGGCCAAAAGACTCATCACAAAATTAATGACAAAGCCAGACCTCAAAGCCAGCTGGCCACAAAGCCTCTTAGACAGTTATGTCAAAAAAGACTCTGCTTGGGCTCCTTGAGATAATGACCATGAAATGGTGTCCATGTGAGAGATCCAAGCAGCCAGCACTAAGCCATCTTCCCTATGTGCTCTGAGGGGAGCCCATGCCTCAGGGAAAGATAATATCCTCCCACCCCTCTATCTCACCCCTCTGCCATGAGTTTCTGGGGCAGATCAAAGTCCCTGGTGACAGCTAGTAGTCACTCCCTGCCCTCTAAGATCCTTCTGCTCTCTTTCCACATTACTCTATGGTTCTTTATTTTAATTTATGTGTATGTGTGTGTGCCTGTAGTCTGTATGTGTACCATGTGTGTACAGTGCCTGTGGGGGTCAAATGAGGACACCAGATCCCTGGAACTGGAGTTATAGGTAGTTGTGAGTTGCCATGTGGGTGCTGGGAACTGAACTTTGGTCCTTTCCAAGAGCAGCAAGTGCTCTTAACTGCTGAGCCATCTCTCCAGCTCCCCTATGTTTCTTTGCAACTACAAACACTCACTTCTTGGGAAAAACTTATAATTCTGCTTTAATGGTTTAACAAGGGACCCATTGGATCCAGAGCTCCATTTTTTATTTTCTTAGCATAAGTTATAGTTGAGATACTCAAGATATTTGTTCCAATCTCAGAAAATGGCATTGTATCTTGAGCACTAATCTTCAGAGAGATGTCTTCCAAATAAAGTGAGTAACAACAAGAAAGTGAAGTTGAGCAAACAAGTAGACACTTTAAAGATGTTGCCAAATACAAATTCATTCATTTCTTCATCCCCTGCCCTCCATTCACTCAACACTATCTGAGCATCTGCCCTGTGATGGCTAGTAAAGGACGGGGAACATAAACAATAGTTGCAGAGGGAGCTCTGTGGAGGAAGAGGTCCCTCAAAAATGGGCTGAGTCAAAGAAGGTTTTTCCACCTTCTACTGTCCGCTAACTCTAATGTTCAGCAATCCAGGCTCTGAATGTTGGCTCTGAGCTGTCCACACATTAGGGGCTGATGCGGGTAGACGGAAGCCACCTTTGGTGTGATCTTTAACACAGATGGCCACATGGAGCTACTCTGGGTCTTGGGGACATTGGGTCATTGGGGAGATTGAGTGCCAGCAAACACTTGACAAAGGTTTTTGTCCCAAGCAACTGTGAGTCAGCATCAAGACAGCATACTCCTCTGATATCTCTAGAGGCTGCCAACAGCACTGGTAGGACTGGCATTTCAGAGTTCCCATACCCTTTCCCCCACAACCCTGTGTGAGTTGACTGATGGAGAAAGTAAAACTCAAGGATTTTAAGTTATATGCAGGCAGGTGTTGGCACAGGGTTGTGTTTGATACCCAAACCTCAGGTCCCAGCCCCAAGCTGCACTATATTGTAACTTGTGAAGGCACAAATGCAATGTTGTAAAGTAGAGCTAAAGGTTTCAGGTCACCTTGATATAGTATCTCTTTGGTCTTAAGAGGGGGAATGGAGACATTTTTCTGTCACATGACTGAAAAATTCCTCGAGCTCTCAAAAAGCCAGTGAATGTTTACTTTTCTCTCTTGATTTCTCTCTGTGAGAACAGCATGAGCCTAAGAGGTATGAGGGGGGCAAAAGGAGGTAGTTTGAGAATGGTTGACTAAAATGGAGCCAAATACCATTTGAGCACCACAAGCCAGTCATTTTGAGCTTGGGAGGGGTCCTCTCCTCAAGCTTTAGGTGTAGCCTCAGAGTCACAGCCCCTGGGATGACATCCCCTGGCCTTCAGCTATTTTGGAAAGAGCAGAGAATACTTTCCATTAGGCCCAGGACACAAGGGCTGGGCAATTGGTGCAGGTTTCAAGGTTAATCAGACCTGTCTCAGTGACTTATTTATGCTGACATATGGGTCATAATATGTTGTCACTCAGTTTACTTGGAAGACCATCTCTCTGAGGATTATTCTAATAATAGAGTACTCTAGATGCAATACAATTTTATGAGATTGGGGCAAGTATACTGAGCAGGATGCTATCTGCTCTGAGCATCTGTTTCTTGACCTGTAAAATGGGAGTCATGATTCCCTAACAGATAGTGGTGAAGCCTAGAAATATTTGTGCTATTGGTCCACAATCATCAGTAAAAACTCGCTTAGGCCAAAGAGACCTAGAGTCAGAAGTCACTGCTTCAAATGGCCTGGAATGTAAGACCAGGGAGTCAGATAATTTTAAAAGAGAATGCCCAGATGTGGGAATACCTCTGCTCTAAGCAATTAATCAACTCTTTTAATTCCACAGCTGTGGGTCTCAATCCTGGCAGCATTCTAGAACTCCCTGGGGAACTTTAAAACTACTGAGGTCTAGGTCTCAAGTCCAGAGATTCAGATTTAGCTCTGAGCTAAAGCCTGGAGATGGAGATATTTAACTTTCTGTTGTGTTTTGTTTTCTTTATTTGGGATAGGGCCTCACTTTGTAGTCATCCAGGCAGACACTGAACTCCTGATCCTCCTGTCTCAGCCTCCCCAATACTGGGATTATAGGCATGCACTATTACTGCTCCCAGCTCCCTAGTGACCCTCTTAGGCATCATGGGCTGAGAACCATGACTTACAACAGCTCTCTGTCACAGATGAAGAAGCTACCCCAATATCACTGCTTCCATTCACTGACCTTTTCAGTACTACACTTCCTGGGAGGCCATTTTGATCTGATACTATTTAAGGAGGGAGAAGAGAGAAGGAATCAGAAAGGGTCTTTCTTACCATCAGGTTTTGCTTCAGGGGTCAGTAATATAACTGATGTGACAGTAATCTACAAATCAAGACAGTTACCCTTTGCTTTAGGGGTTAACAAGAATAGGATTTTTGTGGGCTAGAGAGATGGTTCAGTGAGCCGTTAAGAGGGAGTATTGCTCCTGCAAAGGATTTAAATTCAGTTCCAAGCACCTGCCTATAACTCCAGTTGTAAGGGATTCAGTGCCCTTTTATGGCCTTCCCGGGCACCTGTACTCATGTGCATGTACACACACACACACTTAAAAATAACAATAAATCTTTAAAAAAATTTTCAATGAACTATTCTATAGGCACTGTGCCCACAGCAGATACACAAAGGCAGAATCTGAGGTAACTTTACAATGTCCATTGGAAGGCACCAGTCAACCCAAGGGTAGGTGAAGAGAGTGATGGTGACAGGCCTTTTCCCACTAAGAAGTTGAGGCCCTGTAGCATATAAGCCACCTAATTAGGATATGAGGATGAAGGATGAAATACCAAGGGTCCCTCTAAGTTAGGACAGCGTCACTTAGGATATCATGTATGGAGGACACAGAGAGCTGCCCAATCTTGAATATGCTATGGAGGTCACTGCCAACTAAAAAATTATGAAAGCTGGGCATGGGGTATACTCCTGGAATCCCAACATTTGGGAGGTGAAGGCATGAGGATCAGGAGATTAAAGTCATCTTTGGCTATAGTGAGTTCCAGGCCAGTCTGGGATATGTAAGACGGTCTCCAAAATAAAAAACAAAAAACCCCAAAAATTAAGCAACTAGAGATAGAGGGGCTGGAGAGGTGGCTCAGAGGTTAAGAGCACTTACTGCTCTTCTGGAGGACCTGGGTTCAGTACCTAGCACCTACATGGGGGCTAACACGAATGTTCCAGGGGATCTAATGCCTTCTTCTGGCCTTTGTGGGTACCAGGTACACATGTGGTGCACCTACACACATGTAGGCGAAACATTTATACACATAAAAATGAGAGAGATAGATAGAGAGAGAGAGAGAGGGAGAGAGAGAAAGAGAGAGAGAGAGAGAGAGAGAGAGAGAGAATATAGCTTAGTGGTAGAACATACCATACCTAGCATATGCTTACCCTGGATTTAGTCCCTAGCACCACATAAAGTTGTTATGAGAATGTGGAAAACTGATACATATATGCAAAGTTCACATGTTCCAATGTTTTCCTTATGATAGTGCCTAATTGATGGTCAAATGTAGCAAGGGACTGCTCATCAGGAGGTTGCACTCCTGGTCCTGACCTGCCATCAAAGTTCATGGGCTTGGACATGGAAGGGCCTTCTAACTTTATGCTTCTCCCTTTGCCAAATGAGAATGCATTGTATCAGCAAACTCCAAAGAGCCTGAGACAACTATGAACAGAAGCAAAGGCTTCCCCTTCACTCTCCATATTCCTATATCTAGGAGCAACCTGTTTAGTTCCCTGGTCCTCAGTTTCCTCTCTTGTCAAGAAGGGGATGATAAAGCCTGCCCTATCCATCTCCCAGGGTTGTTTGGGAAATCATAAGATAATGTC